TGGGTTGGAGACAGGGGGTGGGGGTGGGGGGGACACTCCTAGGGCCCAACTTTCTGATAAAAGAAGAGAGATCTGTATGGCCAGGAAAGACAGACGGAGGTCAGATCCCGAGCACAGGCCCTCTGGCTCCACCCCACCCCCTCGGCGCTCCCCCTAGTGGCGTCTTCTACAGAGAACGCCCTCCCGGAGCGAGCGCTGCAGTAAATTGTGAATAAATTTAATCTCAGCTAAAAGGTAAAGATGGCCCAGAGGCGAGGGCGAGGGCCAGGGCGTGGCCAGGGCCCATCAGACAGACGCGGGCTGGGAGCCGGGGGGGATGGCTGTCTTGCTAATCCATTACTTCGGAGTAATTGATCGTATATTATTATTGATGAAAGCCCGTAACAGGCAAGTTAGGATGGACTGGTTCTACAAAGATTCGATTTGTGTACGAAAATGGAAGGAGGAAAAAATGACTCTCATAAAATAATGTGAGGGTGGTTTATGGTGTAATGCAGGCCCGGCGTGGGGACTGGCCCCAAGTTGCCCGTCTCTTCCTCCGCACAATGGATTTGGGCACTGGCAGGGGGAGGCATGGGGAGGGGCCTCACACGTGCTGCCTCTGGGTAGTTGGACAGTGGTCGAGGGGGAGGGCGCAGCAGCAGAGTGAGTCGCGGAGCGGTGCAAGGGTCACACCCAGGAGCTGTGTCCTCTCTGGCTGCCCTAAATGCTGTGGCTCCCCGCAGGCGGGGAGCACCCCGACTCAAAGGCAGACTCGCAAAGGCTGCCCACCCCAGGCAGCATCGGGGGTGTTGGGGAGCAGGTGGATGAGCAACACGGTCCCGACATGACCATCAGGGTTGTTTCCAAGTCAAGGGTCGAAGGCCTTAGCTGGGCAGTGGGCAGTGGGGGCGATTCTGGAACAGGGTACATCTGGGATGGGGCGTCGGGAGATTCTAGAAGAGTCATCTGTGTGTGGGGAGCGGATTCACAATATTCTAAGGCATGTCGCCCATCAGGTGGTAGGGGGCAGCGGAAGCAGTTCAGGCACAAGGTGGAGGGAGTTGAGGCACAGGGTGGACACACCGCCCAGTGAAGTCCTCCGCCAGCTCCACCTTCCGAGGGTTGGTCTTGGTGGGAGCCCCGCCCTCTTCTGGGGCTCACTCTCCACCCTGGGGAGCCCCGGGACAGTGCAGAGCAGAGGGTTCCCACAGGAGGCGTCCAAATTGCAGTTACCTCCTCCTCATTTTACTAGGATGTGGTTGGGGCAGGGTCCCCCGGCGATGTAAACAGGGAACCCATTTGTCCACTACCACAAAGGCTGGGGGTTCTTGTCGAATCAGACCCTCCAGACAAGGTGGGCCTGACGACTGAGCCCAACAAACACCTTGGGGTGGGGGTGGGGGGTGCTCCGTGGAACCACCAGCCCTGGGAGGGTACAGGTGGTAACTGTTGTCACCAACCCAAATGTGTCCCAACTGGTGAATGGAAAAACCAAGTTTCTCTGCAAACTTCCACTCAAATCCCCGTGAGAAAGCCTTAAAAGTAATAAAACCCTATGGAGCATGCGGTGGGAGCCCTGTGGCGTAGTGGTTATGCGTGGGGCTGCTAACCACAAGGTCAGCAGTTCAAAACCACCAGCCGCCCCTAGGGATAAAGATGGGGCTTTCTCCCTGGTGTGTGTAGCAGTCGCTCCGTGTGTATCTGCGAAATTGAGTGTGTGGCCTCTGTGATTCGATTGCTCCGAAACCTGATTTGTTTCATTACCTCGTCGTAGACGGGCTTGGTTCTGAGAAGTGCATTGGGACCTGGCCCAAATGGATGTGTATTAAGTTCTCCTTGGCCTTATGTGGCTTGACCTAACACGGTTAGCCGGTAACACGGTTAGCGGGTAAGCTGATTACCGAGGAGGCAGATTTATTACGCTCTCGTCTTCATAAATTGTTCTTTTCATTGTTCCACGTCTCCCTGCCTGTGCCCTCCCCCACACTCCCTCTCCGTGCACCCAGGGCTCCTTTTGCGCTCTACCTCCTTCTCAAACCTCCCACCATTGACTTGATGGCACTCCTGGAGACCCCGTAGGGCAGGGTGGGGCTGCCCCTGTGGGTTTCCGAGACCAGAACTCTTGACAGGAGTGGGAAGCCCAGTCTTTCTCCATGGAGGGGCTGAACTCCGTGGAGGTTTTGAACCGCTGACCTAATGGTTGGCAGCCCAACGCTTAACCACTGGGCCACCAGAGCCCGTTGGCCAGCCCTTCATTCCCAAACATTGTCCATGCCTCTGTTGATGTCACAACTGTAGTGCTTGGAGAAGACGCGCTGCGAGGGAGGTGGCTCATGGCCGGCATGCAGGTGACACGGCCTCGCTGGCTGGCAGGGAGCAGCACCTGAAGCACCGTGAGGATGATCCAGGACTGCAGCCTTCAGGATGGGTGACAGCACACGCTAGAGAAGACCCCATCCTCACCACTGGACCAGGAGGTCACATAATGGGAAGAGGTTGCCGTTGTCAAGGATTTCGTCCTGCTTGGATATGGTCACTGCTCGTGGAAGCAGCAGGCAAGAGATCAAACGCCGTGTTGCATTAGGTAACTCTGCTGCACAAGACCTCTCCAGAGCACTGAAGCGCAAGGGTCTTCCTTCGAGGACTAAGGTGCACCTGCCCCAGCCACGGTGTTCTCCGCTGCCTCATACACACGTACAAGTCAGACATTGAATCTGGAAGGCCATAGAAGAATAGGTGCATTTGAGCAGTGGTGCTGGAGAAGAACATTGAGAGCACCCTGGACTGCTCAAAGGACAACCACATCTGTCGTGGAAGAAGTACACCAGCGGGCTCCTAGAGGCCAGGTTTCCTCTCACGGACTGTGGACGTGCTGTCAGAGAGAGCGGTCCCTGGAGAAGGCCGTCGTGCTTGGTCAAGTGGAGGGCGGTGAGAGAGGAAGCCCTCGCCCACATGGACGGACGCAGTGGCTGCATCCGTGGGCTTGGACACAGGCACCGTGGTGAGGTCAGCCCAGGACCCGGCAGTGTTTCCTTCGGCTGTGCATCTGTCTGTGTGCTGTGGGGCTCAAGGCCCACTCAGCATCCCCCAACAATGACATCCGATGTGGCTGTGCATAAAAGGAGCCCCTGATGGAGCAGGCACGACTGGCGATTATCCCAGGCCCCCCTAGCACTGCCACAGGGTGCTGTGAGCCAGGGTCTCCACGACAGCCACCAACAGCACACTGTACCCCTGGAGACAGCCCTCTGTGTGCAAGAAGGAGGCTCTGCTGGTGTAGGGTGACTTACACCACCACCACTACCCTCACTCCAAGCAAGAGAGGGAGGCAGGCACCTCTTGAAGGGCACCAGGAACTGCAGTGCAGATGCTGGGGAGACGAAGTCCCCAGAGCCCAGTGAGGGAGGAAGCTGTGCCCTGGAGTCACCCCACAACTCAGGGTCTCGCCTGCACCCTGACCTGACCCCTTCACACCTATGCCTATACCTTCACTGCACCTGGACCCACACCTTTACACCCATGCTCGTGCCTGTGCCCACACCTGTACCCCTGCCTTCACACCTGTGCCCACACATTCACCGCATCTGTGCCTGCACCTCCACCGTGCCTGCACCTGAACCTATAAACATTGGTTATAGGCCTGAACCTCCACTCCCCTGAAGCCCAATTGCCACTTGGTGTGTGAGCCCAGGCCCTTCCTGACCTCAGTGTCCCCACCTGTGACCTGGAGGGGCATGTGAACAGCCGCCCCCCGGGGGTCAGAGACTTGGTGCAGTTAGACAGATGGGTCCCATAGAGCTGACAGGTCAGGTTAGAAATCTAGCCCTGCCCTGTCTGCTGTGGTGGACGGGGCCAGGCTGCCAGCTCCACAGGTGGGTGGGTGCCCCGTATCCCCAAAGGGCAGCCCACACAGAACCTCTCCCCCAGTGCCTGATGAGTGAAAACACTTTAATGGGACCAAAGTGCCTTTGTGCTCAGAGGCCAACTCCCCAGGCCGAGGGGCTTGGCTCTGGGGGGCTGCCTAGTACTTGAGCAGCCAGCGAGGTTTGTGTGGGCTCAGCGAGCTAAGGTAAGACCACCACCAGGGCTTGCCCCCATGGGTGGGGGGCTGCCTCCGTACCCCGGGGAGCCCTTCCTGCAGGCCGTCGGCCCCCAGGGCCCCTCTCTGGGGCCCAGGGAGGAGTGTCTTGGGCCCCACCCCCAGAGGCTGGAGGATGAAGTCTACCCTGCCGGCCGTCCTCATGCGGGCGGGGATGGTGACCTTCTTGATGACCTTGGAGTAGCCAGGGGCCTGGGCGATGACGATGTGGGTTCCCGGGGGCAGCAGCCTCCAGTAATCACCGTCGGGAGCTGGGGACAGAGAGAGAGTGCTCCTGAGACCGGGCTGGGGTCCGACGCGGCAACATCATGGGGTGAGGAGGGGGCCGTACCTGCAGTGACGTCATGGCGGAGACCCTTCACAGCCACCCGGGCGTTCTTTACCGGCTTCCCAAACTTGTCCATCACCACGCCCTTGATGCCGCGGTGCACCTGACCAGGAGGGAGGCAGGAGCTGGGGGTGTGCTCAGGGACCGACCACGGACCCATGCAGCCTCTTCCCCTCTGAGCCAGGGCCTCCGCTTGGATGAGAGGCTGCGGCCTCAGTTTCCCCATCTGTGAGAGCCAGCTTCTGGACCATTCAGGGTCCATGAGTGGCTCCACACTTCTGCGGGGGTGGGGGGGGCAGTTGACTGCGTGGAGGCAGCACTACTATGGGTCAGTGTGGCGGGGCCACACTGTCCTGCCCCAGGTCTCTGCAGAGGGCCATCGCCGCCCAAAGCCAGGAGGAAGTTGGCAGTAGAGAGCGTCTTTTGGTCTCCGGAGGCCTGTGTCCACCAGCATTGCTTGTGGATCCATGTAAGACGAAACCCTTGACCACTTCAACCTTTTCTCCGCGGATCGTGATGTTCCTTCTGGTCCAGCGGTGAGGATTTGGATCTGTCTTACATGGAGTCGTCGTCCACACTGGGGGCTGCCACCCTTCGTCTTCAGCAGCGAGGGCTGCAAGTCCCCCGCACGTCAGCAAGTACGGCTGCGTCACCTGCCTAGCGCAGATGGTTCACAAGCCTTCCTTCAATCCTGATGCCTAATTTTCACCCACCCCACCCCCGCCCCCATTGGTCAGTTTGAGCTGTGGCTGTGAAGCTGGAAGCTGTGCCAGTGGGCAGCCTGTGGGAGGACAGGTGCCCTGGACAAGGGGTCTTGGGCAGGCAGCTCTCACGGAGCTGCAGGCTGGACGTGAAATGACATGTTGCATTGGGTCAATCTGCTGCACACGACCTCGAGAGCATCACAGGGCAAGGCTGTAACGTGGAGGACCACGGTGCGCCTGGCCCCAGCCACGGGCTCTCCATCGCCTCGCCGGCAGGTGGACTTTGGACAGGTGTAAGGAAGACTGAAGGGGGATGGGTGAATTCGAACGGTGGTGGTGGAGGAGACTATTGAAAGTACCACGGACTGCTAAAGGACCATCGGCTCTGTCTTGGAAGAAGCACAGCCCGAGGGCTCCTTAGAGGGGAGCACGGGGAAGCTTGGACTGTTTTCAGGGGCAGGGCTTCAATCATTCTTGGTAGAGGCTCGGCGGCCTCGTGGAACAGGAAGGCCCTCGATGAGATGGACGGACATGTGGCTGCAACTATGTTGCGCAGATGGCCTGGGGCCAGGCGGTGCTCCGTTCTGATGCGCACAGGATCGCTGTGAGCAACAAGCAAATGGACCGGGCATCCCTGAGTCCCGAAACGGTTGTACGTGACCACTCACGTGGGTAACTCTCCCGGAGGTGCCACGGAAGGAAGTCTTGGCGATCGGAGCCCAACCCCACCCGCACACTTGGGGTCACCAGGAGTGGGGGGGCGGGGACGTTCAACGGTGGCCCACACAAAGTGGGGACCTGAGAGTGGCCGCGAGCGCTACAGCCTGGGGGAGGGGGAGACTAGGGCCCTGGAGCCTCAGCCAGAGCGCCTAACCCTCACCCAAGCCCCCTACCCCTCACCCAGTACCTTGGCATCCCCGCCCGCCTGGTGCGCCCTAACCTTCGCCGTGCGTCCCTCCCCTTCCCCAGCCCCGCTCACCATCTCCGCGAAGCTGAGCAGCGATTCCTTGTTGTGCCGCCAGAGGGTGTAGAGCGCCTCCTGGGGCGGGAACTTGACGCAGCCCAGCTCCACCGTGACCTCGAAGCAGTTGGAGTGTAGGTAATTGAAGTCGGACATGCCTGGGGACCGGCGGGCGCGCAGGGGTCAGAGCCCGCGGGGAGGTATTAGGGCGCCCACCTTACAGGAGCGGAGACTGAGGCCCTAGGTCGGACCCGGGTCCGCTCCACGCGAGCGTGAATCAATTTCCAGCAGACTCACTGGGCGCGGGGTCCTCACTTGCCCGCACTCCTGAGAAATCTGACCCCCGTGGACTCCGGCTCGGCCGGCAACAATCCAAGGAGGGAGATCCTGTCATCTCTGTTTTGCAGAGTCAGGGCCTGGACAACTGACCAGCAGGGCGGCCCAGAAAGGCTTTGGGGGCAGGTCCACTACAGCCGGGCCCCACTGCTCTGCCTCGCCCCATCCGTTCAGGTCTTCGGTTTAAACACCTCATCTAACAAGACAATGGACTGTGCACTGGACAGCCAGCAGTGGACAACTGTCAGCCACTCGGCGGGGGAAAGATGACGTTTTTCACTCCGGCAAAGAGGAGCAGTCTTGGAAACCCATAGGGGCAGTTCTACCCTGTCCTGCAGGGTGGGTCACAGTGAGGGGGGACCCCCTCACGGCAGTGGTCAGGCATTGTGGTGGCTGTCGGATGCTTGCCTGCTGCTTGGATAATGAGCCGGTTTCAGCAGAGCTCCCAGGCCGAGACTAGGTCTGGCGACATGCTTCTGGGAAGTCAGCAGCTGAGACGTGGGTGTGCCCCACCCGCCACCCACCGTAAGTGGTGGCTACAGGTTCCGAAATCAGGGTGCCTGGAAGAAACTGCCCGCCCACCTCCCTGTCTCGACCTCGTCCATCCCCGCCAGACCCGGTCCCACCCAGCACAGCTCCCTCAGACCCCACCTTGCCCGGCCCCGCCTCTTGCCTCACCAAACCCTGCCTTGCTCTGCCCCTCCCATCACGACGCCTTCTCGCCCAAACCTGTCTGCCCTGCACAGACCCTATCCCAGCCTGCCAGACTGCCCAGCAAGCCCTGCACCAGATCCCTGTCCAGCTCTGCCCCACCCTGCCCAGCCAGACACCTCCCCACCCCCCAGGAAAGCCCTGGCCAGCCCCGGCAGGCCCCGCCCAGCACAACTCCGCCTTGCTAGGTCATCCCGCCTTGGAGGCCCCGCCCACAGTAGACCGCGCCCCACTCGGCCCTCTCCCTCCGCGCACCTCCGGTGAAGCTGTACCAGTCGGCCCCGTTGATGATACCCCCCTTCTTAAGAAAGTTCCCCCCACAGCGCTGCTCCGACTTGTCCGTCATCATGGGGTGCACATCCGCGTACGCTCGGGCCAGCAGCTTGAACATCTGGGACAGAGGCGGCGAGCGGTTCCCAAGAGGCCACAC